CGTTTGACATCCGATTTAAATATAAGTATTAACAAGTATTTGACTGTCAAATTTTTGTTTGATTGTGCCGAGCACTAGTGGTATTTAAGATTATCTTGAAGACTATGTAGAAAATAGTGAATCTGGTCAATACAGTAGGAATCATAAGTATCCTCACCCAGCTAATTTCCCGAAAACCTGATGTAACTCTATAAAATTTTCTGAATATGTAGTATGATATAAAAACTAATCATACTTACTTGTTTTAGGTTCGTTGATAATCTATATCATAAATTAGATGATCAATGAATTTTTGGCAGTTAAAACAATGTCTCTGCCCATACACAAGTGATATGAAATAGTATTTTTACATACTCACCGTAAGGGCCCGAAACTTGGACTTGCTGCAACGGCAAAAGAGGTCGGCTGTGATAAAAAAACGGCGCAATATTGGGTTAATAGGTGGTCTGTGACCAAGGACTTGAACAATCAGCAAAAGTCTGGCTGCAAGAGAATCACGACTAAAAAGCAAGATCAGAGAATAATTGAACTTGCAAAAAAAAGTGACAATATGACCGCTATGGAAATATGTGAAGATATGAAGAAGCACAATGTTGGAATCAGTGTGGCCACAGTTCGCCGTCGTCTCCGTGAACAAGGTGCCAAATATGGTACTCAACTTTCAAAGCCCCTGCTAACCGACAAGCACATAAAAAAAAGGCTGGCGTGGGCTAAACGTCATAGGAACTATGACTTGAATAATGTGGTATTTTTAGATGAAAGTACATTTCATCTGAAACACCGGCCAAAAAAAGTGTGGCAGTTCCCTAAGAAACGAAGTGTCTTCCGAACGGTGAAGCACCCTGCGAAGGTCCATGTGTGGGGCTGTTTTTCGGCCTCTGGATTTGATGAGCTGTATATCTTCCTGAGAAATCTGAATGCGAAATTTTTGCTTACTGTGTATGAGAAGGGCCTTCTACCTTCTACTGATAAAATTTTTGGCAAGGGTTCTGTAGATTGGGTGCTGCAAGAAGACAACGACCCGAAGCACTGTTCGAAAATTGCAAAAAATTGGAAGGAGGAAAATGGTATTGAGGTACTTCCGTGGCCTTCCAGGTCACCCGACATGAATCCAATTGAAAACATCTGGGGACTTATGAAAATTAAGCTAGCAAAAAAAAAAATCTGAACTATAAAGACGTTGAAAGGCTTAATCACGAAGGAATGGAACCAATTACCTAAAGACCTGGCGAAGAATTTGGTTTGTGGTATGAATGAGCATGTAGAAGCGCTAATTGAAAATGGTGGTGATTATACTGTGTATTGAGGATCACGCCTCATTATAAATTTGTAAATAAAAAAAAAATTTTTCGCTTATCTGCTTGCTGTGCCACATCACGTGGGGTGGGATACTTATGATTCTTACTGTATATGCTAGCTGTATCAATTAATGAAAAAATTGATCAATATAAATGTATAATTGATAATGATACTACTATTGCATCAATACTCGATTCACGAACCAAATTATTGCTCTTTGAAATAGAACAAGAAACCACTGATGCAGTTAATCAAACTAGAGAAGTATTTAGTCAATATTATACTAAATTTACCAATAAGCCCTTGTATGTTAAAAGAAATGATATTAGTACAACTCGTGATTACTTTAAGGGACTTAAACAACATCATTTAGAATCAGATTCTAGAACAAACCAAGACTCTATGGATGAATTAGAGCAATACTTAGCTTTGTCCTGTGATAAAAATGTTGCACTATTATTATGATAGCAAGCATATAAAAAAAAGTTTCTAACATTAGGACGTATGTTAAGAGATTATTTGTTAATTCAGGCAATTAGCATTGCCTGTGAGCAAGCTTTTTTGGTCACGACAAATACCATATCATGTACTCGAAGCCGTCTTAATCCAGAAACTACAAGGGCATCTTTATATGCTAAAAGCTAGATTAGAAATAAAATTGAAAGAGTTAATAAGTTAAAGTTTAAATAAAGATTATTTTCTTACTTTCTGTTCTAAAACTATTTACTGTAACTCTGATCAGATTGAATCTAAGTGAAAGTATTTGCAAAAAATATTTCTGGTAATTTTTGGAAGGAAATTTAATAAATATATTAGTGAAAATTACATAGCAAATTCAAAACTTCCTAAATAATAAATACTAGCATTTAATAAAAATAACTATTTTCTCTGTTCACATATAAGTTATGCAAAAACTATTAATCCAATTAGTGTTTGCCAACTAGATGTAGATTATATGAATTATTAGCATAACCCAGTTTGAGACTATGCTTAGGATCTAACATTGAACCTAGTCCCAGACAAGACCTGGTTAACCTAGGTCTTAAGACTTATTGTACAAGACCTTGGTTAATAGGTTATATTGTAAGACTTAAAGGTTTTAGAACCAACCAAACTTAGACTAACTTTGCTATCCCTAGATCATTGTCATTAGGTCAGGCTTAGAATTAAAGTTAGTGTGATTTATAAAAAAAAAACTTGTTGGAGAGTAGAGATAATAAAAAAAACTTTTTAATGTTTTTTAAATTGTGATAGCCAATAACTAAAACCAAAACTCACTGTATCTTATTAGATAATTTTTAGGAATATTAAATGGTTCGAAAAAACTTAAGTTCTAAACCGTTTATTGTGCTTATTAAGTTTGTAATTAATTTTTGTTTAAAACTTCAGTTTAAACTTAAATTAAAAAAGATACAAATTTCAAATTAGCATATAAATCTTAATTTGGCAAACAGCTTTTGTTTGATGTTTTTAAACTAATTTATTGTTTTTAAGTTGACAATTAATTTACATTTAAAGTTTATTATTCTTAATTTGGCAAATAGTTTTCGTTTAAACAGTTTATTGTTTTTAATTTGGAAAATGGTTTTGTTCAAATAGTTTTATTATTTCTTATTATGGAAATTTGGTTATAATTATATGATTATTAGTTCAAATATAAAATAATATGAAAAACAAAGCTATTAAAAAAATATATATAAAATAAATACAATTAAAATAATAAATTAATTTTTTATTTAAAGAAAATTTTTTATCTTCAAATATTAAATTTTTGATTATAGATATTACTAACAATAATACCAATATTATTGAAGAACAAGACTCTTTATATAATGAAATATGTAATTCTTTGTAAAAAGAATTAAAAGTAGATCCTTTAATTATAGAATCATTATTTAATAATTCATTAAATAAAAAATACAAAAAATCTCATCCTCTGTATAAATATCTTGAATCAAGCAAATATGAACTTTATATTTACTATAAGCTATATAAAGAACAAGATTCTCTATTAAAATAACAAAAATCAACAGAAATTAGCTAGGGTCTGCAAATAGGTATACTGGACACATTGGTACCAGGATATACACTAGTATCTCATGCTATACCTATATCTAAAGCACAAAAATGCTAGGCATTATTGTGAATATGAGTACAAATACCAGGTATTTTATAGATATAGATACAATATGCCAGGCACTATTATAGCATGTCACAATGTATTAGGCAAAAAGGTGCCAAAAAAGTATTAAACACAAATGCTAGACAAAGTGTAGTGCACAATTAATTAATAAATATTAAATTTTTGTATCTGTGTTTATGCTTATATCAAATCTTTGTACTGTTACAATGCTATAGCCTTCTTAGTATAAATATAGCAAAATAACAAGATTACTCGGTGCAGTGATATACTTTATGAATATACACGAGGTAGATATAAAGTGTATACTTTAACTTTATAGCAGGAGGCAAACAGTTTAAGATAATAATAGTTTATAGATAATAATATTTATTAATAACAAATTCATAGTAATAGTCTTGTCTATAAAAATTATTTTAGAAGGTGAATATTACACTTTACAAGTAGAAAAGGGTAAATGGATAGGGCTAAATTCTATAAGAGAGTAGAAAACTCTAACTTGGGTAGAAGGAACAAAGGATTCCTTTTTATAACTTTTTAACAGATAGAAGTGTAATAGTATAATTGCTTAACTGTATAAAGGTACTTAAAGGTACTTGTACAAAGGTACTCAGAGATTAGGGTTCCTAGGTTCAGTTCAGTTCAAGTTCAGGTTCAATGAACCTGAACTGAACCTGAACCTGAACCACAAATT